TGAACTATACAAGTGGATTTATTGAATTGACGGTAAAATATGTGAAAGATGCCTTTATTTTTTCCAAACAGTATTGTAGATAAATATCGAAAAAAAAAATGAAATATTTCAATTCCAAATTTAAGAGACCTACCTTTTTTTATACAACTAAATGATAAATTCTAAAGTTCTATTATTGTACATTCTCTTATCGAGTAAGACTGGTTTTTACAATTGTGTAAAAACGAATTTAAAACAAAAAAAGAAGAAGAAACGAACTTGGTACTAAGAATTAACTTCATAGATTGTCTTAATGTTTGGATCATTTCGACTGTAGGGTAAGGCACTATATAAGCGTATATATGTATTCTACCACTGCTGTGTCATATGTTATAAGAGTATTTCCTGCATAACTATGCAATGATGACTATAATCCTGTTCTACAACCATACTGATCTTCGCATTTTTTCATAACTTCAAATATATATCTTTGTTCAGTACTTTGTTTCGTGTTATCCAATAAAAGATATATTACACATTCAAGCAAAATACATACAGATTGTTAATTGTACAACCTCTTTACTTCTAGCATTATGATACAAAGTAGACTATTTACACAATTCAAACTTAAAGTACCATTACGATGATTCTTGTACCGAAGTATTTAGAACACTGTAATAAAACCATGTTATGCCATAATGCGATGGCATATAAAATTGTGTATTTGCACACAGCTTTGTATATGTGTTTGTGAGATCTTCGAAAAAGATACAAAATTTCCAACACACGACTCAAATTTTGTAATCCATTCTCATTAAATTTAGAATTTATGTTAATTTTAATTTCAAATCATTGATGCATTTTCTTATACGAAATAAGAAACATCTATTGAAACACGAATTTATAAAAAAAAAATACTACTTTTCAAGTATTAAGTACATATTTGTGTCAACATATAATTATTGCTGTATTAACATCATTAACAGTTTTAAGATTACAAGCATTATGTATGGGGTATAACAAATATTTAATAAATAATTCAGCAAATCAAAATCCCTATGTTCATTTTTAATCATATTGCCCACGCAACTTTTCCCGTTGAATTCTTTATGCGAGTATCTGATGCCCTTTACGATCATTCAATTTTTATTTTTCCGCGTAAATTTGACAGATGGCATGGTCACGATTGATATCCAATAAGAGTCGCTATCAGTGCTTTAAGCAATTTTATTGGCCAAGTATTCGAGCATCATATTAAGTACGATTTTCATTATTATACATTTATTTTCAAGTTGTTTTTGCATTCGACTATGCTTTGTTACTCGTGGATTTGTAATCTACTTTGTAGAGAATCATGAAAGCACGTAATACGCCACCACATCGACAGCTGCTAATAAACGTCAGCAATGTAAGGCTAAACATCGACAATCGAAATACTCGTACGAGCTAAATGAGTGTTGAATGGCAGCAAAAATTACAATCTGTTGTTCCAGAAGTTCTCATCGGATTCGTTGTAAAGTTTTTATCGAAGACATTTCTCGTGTCGTATTGTCGTCGCTGACGATATAAGAAATTAAGTTGCGTCGTGACGTACGCGAACTGTCCATATTTCTGCACGAAACCAACGACAGGGTTATGAGGCTCAAATTTTTCAGTCTCGCAATTAGTCAATATTTTCCAAGCGTTTTTAATATATTTTCCGTACTACACAATGGCTGAAAAATGTAAGGTACGTAGATTAAAGAGTAAGTCAATGTTACGTAGAAGCAAATTTAAACATTTTTGTATAACATTAAAACGAAAATGGTAGAATGTGATTACGATGGTGAACAATAATTCATTAAAAAAATATTAAAAGAAGCAAACTGATTATAACATTTCACGGATTTGCCTCATTGTTTTAAGTAATCTATAATTTAATTGTCTACTATACAAAAAGTGTCAAACATAATTGTAGGAATGCGGATGTAAATGTGTACATTGCACTCAGTACGATCAACAACACTGTGACATGCATTTGCATGTTGAAATAGAAAACTTACGGCAACATTTGATGGAAAGAGATAATCACATCGCAACAATGGAGACACAGTTTTTGAATGAAGCTGATAAATTTCCGAACGGAGAATTAGCATCGATGAAGGAAGAACTTTTAATATGGCAGGAAAAATATTCAAGACTACACGAGGCTCACAAACGTGTTCAAAAAGTAAATCAAAATCTTGAGGATAAATTGCTGAAGATCGTAGACAAATGTGAAACTGAGAAAAGTGCGTTCACTAAGGATATTGCAACCTTGTCTCATAGATTAGCAGATGCAAATTATACTATACATCGTTTAACCCAAGATAATGTATGTTCAAATGTTTATATTTTTATCTAATTTAAATTGTGCACGCAACTTGTTTCACATATATGTTCATTTCCAGGAAAAGTATAGGAATGATGTGAATTTGGCAATACAACTTCTTCAGTGTAAACCTTCTAATTTCATTGGTCAAAAATATGATTCTGTAAGTAACCGATACACAGTATGTTCATGTATAAAATATAAATCTCTTATCGTATCGAAAATATGATAAAAATGAAATTAAAAATTAATAATGTAAAAGATGTTTAGTTCTGTCAGAGAGCTTATCTTTTTATAATATGTTACCATGTTCCATAAATAATTTTTACTTTCAATATTTTATGAGATATTGGCCTACGAACAATTGAGCATGGGTATATTATACGTTCAATTCTATGTTTCAGCATAAACAAATTTGATAACTATTATTTTCTTTCAGTTACCTTCGGAAGTACAAGCCAAAGTTAGAACATACATTGCACAAAAGAAACGTTCAAACGATAATACTCCTGACGTTAAAAGTATTACAGTACCAATTTCAACATTTCCTCCGACAGCGATGGTATATAATGTAACTAAGCCTGCAGTTGAGAAAGACAGCGATGATGAAAGCGATGAATCCAAGCCTCCAGTAGACGTCGTCTCGGCTGCAATAATGGCTAAAGTTTTAGAAGATAGGGAAAAGGAAAGAATATTTGCTAAACATTGTGATACCTGCACTTGCAACCGTAGGATTTTAATGGTCGATGCTGAGACACAAACTAATTTGCAAGATGTCTTTTCTTGCAACGATTGTGTTACGAAATATGCACAGAATGTAGAGAAAAATATTGAGAAAAATCGCCAAACTAAAGAAAGTCAAAATTCTAATTTACATATAGTTTATCACGAAACGAATGAAAACGTTAGTATTAGTAATATGCAATACCACAGTCACTGTACAAACAATATTAATACAACTAGTAGTCAGTATCTAAGCACAAAAGATAAATTTTTAAGTAGAAATGGTAAAATAGAAAATACGAAAGAGGACGGTCGCGCGAATTCTGTTACAAAAGTCAGCTTAAATAAAAAGAACTCAATGCGCAGGAACGATACGCAAACTCAAAATGTTTTTCACAGCCAGACTGACAACGCGGCTACACAAATGCCTCAAAAAGTCGGCGACATGTGTAACAACGGCAAACTGAATTCAGAGAAAGGAAAATCAGCGAAATCATATAAGAAATCCGAGTCCTCGATCGACGGTATATTCAATCCGAATTGTTGGAATAAATTGGAAAAGAAATCTTCCAATCATAGTTACATAGTTCCTGAAGTTCGTAATAGTCATTTCGATGGGAAAGAACAGAGTCACATTGATATTATTAATGATAGATTGCGAAAGAATGAATGGACAAAATTGAAGTCTCAGACTAACGAAAAGGCTAATAAGAATGTGGACAAAGTCTGTAGCGATATTGAAATTGACATTATCAATGACAGAATTTGGAAAAACGATAAAACACAGCAAGAATCGCATCAGTCGACGCAGCTGACGTTGATAGAAGTAAAGAATATTGATAACAATTTGAACCAAAACGATTCTGGACAGATCGAAGTGGCTACTAGTCGCAGTTTCAGTAGTGATAGTATAGTGATTTCTACTTCTGATCCTTCCAGCAGTTCTAGTGATGTTGTTCAGTCATTGCATAATATCGGTTTGAAACCAAGTAGTCAAAATCGAATAACCGGTCCAAGGAATTGTCTTGTAAGAGTCACGCCTGGATCGAAAAATATTCTTTTAGATAATGCTGGCCATTATAAAACTGTATTATATACTAGCGGAAGTAACAAGCCAAATACGGCTTTAGTTCATTCGAAGAAATTATCTCGGTCCGGCTCGGACAGATCGATTTCAACCAGCAGCGAGGAAAGTTCTCCGATCTTGTTGCATGACAATAATCAGTTACAGAGAGTGGCTGAGTGGGTCGAGTCGTCGGTACACATGGACAATTCGGTGACGAATTACTCGAAATTAAAGCCTGCCGAAAGTATAATCGACAAGAGTTCGTCGTTGGTGTACTTAAATGAGTCGGAGATAAAACCGAAACTGTTTGACGATGCACGAAGATCGCCTGAAAATATTCAAGAAAATAAAAAACGCGAAGACCTAATAACAGATGCCCAAGATTTTGTTAACGAGAATTTAAGCAACGTTCTAGACAATTTCACAAGCGCGAACAACACGGAATCGGAGAAAGAGAAAGATTTGATAACTTTCGACGTGCCCAACGAGGACGAGAAAGTTGTTCTGCCACAGGCTTCCAATAAAATAGACAACATCGATTTCGATTACGAAGCGAACATTACGAAGGAAATGGAAGAAACTTACTTGAAGCTTGCAGCGAGTGTAGATTCCTTTGCTTTGCGTTTGTCGAGCGTGGACAGTGCAGATTTAACGATCGAGAAATACAGGAAGGATCACAAAAGGCTTCAGAGAAGTCACGACAGGGTGGGATCAAAAATGTAAAAGTGTCTCAACTGAAAAATATTTCAAGATGATTATTATTACTATCTCAGCAGGGAGTTCCTTTAAAGATAACAGAGCGTTATTTTTTGTAACTATATGAAACTAAGGCTGTACCAAGATCAGTAGCTTAGGAAGAAAAACATTCTATACACCACTGCAGACATACAATTATATTTATTTAATTTGTCGAATCGATATTAACAATTTCATCTCCTGGTGAGTTAGTTTGTAAACAATAAGTACATAGTATCGCCGATATGTATAATTATAATTGAAAATAGCTCGATTATTTTATATAATTAAGAATGCCTAATCTGAATTGGGAAAATGATAATTTATTCAAATGCTTGTTGAATTTTTGCTATATAGGGATACTCTATCCAGGCTGTTTTTGCAAAGGAAACGATGAACTCTGCTGTCGTCATTTGGTTTTCGTTATTACGATTCTCTACAGTTTTGTATAGAATTACTCTATAGTATATATCGGACAAAAAAAAATAGCCCAATTAAATGACACGACGAGACTTTTATTCTTGTTACTGCGATGGAATATTGTAAGGTGAATTGCGTTCACGTGCATTGAATCGTGACAATATTTAAGAATTCGTTCGTCGGATCGTCGACAATCTATGAATGTCAAAACGCAGAGCGTGCGCCACTTCTAATTTCGTCATTAGAAGCAGCAAGAGTAGCCCGCGTTGCAGAACCAGTTCATCATTCCGGATTGATTGATACAGGAGAACGCGGACAGGCTTGTGTTCGGCGATGTTTCGCGTGTAAAATTTTCATAATTTTTATTCGACAATTTCTAGAGCTAATGACGAGTAATATTACTATATTTTCCTTGTGTACACGAATCAATTCGACAGGATGCAGCGGCGGACAATATTATCTCGTTGATCTAATTCTTAAGATATATATCCCCGAAATAACGCGTTAAGGAGCTTCGTTTGCGTCGAGGGAAGTTTACGAGAAAACCTTCTTTCGTGGAAAAACCGTGATACCAAAGCTTCGAATAATATTGCAAATATCGCTGCTGTAAAGTTCAATGTTTCTCAATCGTTCAAGCGAATGTAACAGAATTCTTTCTCGTTCTCCTTTATTTTTGCACTGTTTTCGGTAAATACCTGCGATCTTGTGCAACTTATTGTTATCGAGGCGAAAGAACAAGCGATCACCGTGTCCTAGTTGCAAAGACTAAAAAACGTTGTAGAAACCGATGGGATCTAAGTATTCTGTTGTATAAGTTTTCAGATTATTTTTTCAGTTAGAGATTATTATATATTATTTATCGATCGAAGCAATATTTAATGGCCAAAATGGTGGTTCTTCGAGTAGTCGAATGGATTCGCCGAGCAAAGTGAGTGAATAAGCTCGCTGATCTTGCGATCTACAGATTTCGTCGAATGTTATTAACGTTTCTGTAATGCGCGATGTTCTTGACAAACGCACTGTTCGCCCGATTTTTCGGGTCTACGCGATTACGAACGTCTGGACGATGCGGATATCGTGGCGGCACGCCGGTAGAACCGTGTTCAATGAAAATTCATGTGAAAAAACCACCATCGTATCAAGAATAATATTCGAACCGTACGCCGTACGTGTGTAAACAAATATTATATACGCATTATGCAATATACAGAGATGAATGGCAGGGGTGTGAAAACTGTACGCGCGCGTTCTTGTACGGCTCTCCATTGACGAATGGACGACGATCGAGACGGTCAAGGAGCATACATTTCAGGCTGTCGACGTTATTCAAAAAGCTGGAGAAAAATTCGCGACGAAATTTCTCGAGCGAGTTTGTGCACATTGAACTCGCGCGATCTCCCAGTATCGAGGAAACATACTTAATTTCTACAGCACCGTCGAGAGAGCAACGTAAACACTCTTCACGTTACGTCAAACAATGAACTGTACGAGCACGAATTATTGGTATGTTGGTGCAGGTCTCGAGTATGAAAAACTGTAAAAAAAAAGAATGTTTATCATGGATATATAAAGCTTTTGCAAATTACAATAAATGTCTTTCTTTTCGTTTCTGGACTTCGTTCCGAGCTGCGAAGTGAGAATTCGAGCGCGACGACCGTTTGAAATTGTTCAGAGAACGGCGGAGCCATTTGTTAAGATCGTCTTCGACATCTTTCGCGAAATAAAATAAAAACGATCAACGCCCGAACAAGACGAATTTCACATTCTAAAACGACGATAAAGAGGATTTCGTGATTCTACCACGAAGAGGTGGAGAGCGGATCGCAGATAGGATTCAAACATGATGTTTCGGCGCGAGTTAATCGTGACAATGGTTCGTTCCGTCAAGCTTCGTCTCGATTCGACTGTAATTGAAAAGAAAATGATCGTTGCCTAATGGTTCTCGATTCGTTGCAAAAATAAAAAAAAAAGCAAAAAATAGTGGGACAGACGTACCAATACCAAATAAACCGAAAAGAAAAGAACGGAATTTCTGGCTTTTCTAACTACCTCGATGCATTTTTCCTTAGTTCTTTGGTAATATACTAATAATAATAATCGCAGAAGAAATAATAAAAGGACCTTTTGTAGAAGGACCAAGTTGTCTGGTATTTCCGCGTGCGTAAAAACGCTTCTACGATATTAAGGTGCATTAATTCTTAGTCGAAGTCAACTGAACGAAACCAATTGTTTGGAGTCCGACAGGAAACGATTCTATACGCGATCGAGTTATTCATTCGACTCGAAAAATAACCAGGATGTATCATATGTAATGTGACGGTGATTACTATGTAAACTGTACATATATGTACGATCGAATAAAATGTGTCTAAAAGAGGAGATTCAGTCTTGTTCCACTGAATTTATCAATTATTTATTAGGATGTTGAATCGACGTTATGTACGGACGTATTTATCCAGCGAAACTCGGGTATTTTTCGTAACAAAATAATAAAATATTATAATAATAATACAATAATATAATAATAATCATATTATAATATATAGTATATATTATAATGTATTATATAATTTATTGTATATTATAATAATTAAAAAAGTGTGAAGTAACATTATTAGGACGTTACACTCTGCAATAATATTTTATTATTATTATAATACTATAATAATAATAAAATATTATTCAATATTATATTATATTATAATATTATAATAATAATAAAATATTATTGCAGAGTGTAACGTCCTAATAATGTTACTTCACACTTTTTTAATTATTATAATATACAATAAATTATATA